TGCTCAAGGCTAGCACTCTACCACTTGAGCCACAGCACCACTTCCAGCTTTTTCTGTTTATGTGGTATTGATGAATTGAATCCAGGGCTTCATACATGCTAGGCAAGCACTCTACCACTCTAGTGTCACATTCCCAGACCTCTACTTTTTTTTTTTTGATGATAGATGTGCAATTCCTTCACTAGAGCATATCCATGGGACAGTCTAATGGCATTATTTATAGTTTGGTTTGGGGATTAAAATTGAGAAAAAAATCTAGCAAAACATAGCCTCTAGTGCCTAGAGTCAAAAACATAAATACAGTAACAAAAACAGAGGTAAGAAAGCCCAATTGTGGAGAAAACTTTAGGTGTGTAATTGCACTCTTCCTTTCAACATTAGGTGTCTACTCATTTCACAGATGTGGAACTGAGGCCAAGGAGGTAAAATTCATTTGTAGATCATATAGGAAGCACTTGAGCCCACAGCTTCTGGATGCCAGGGCAGCCTCCTTCTCTCACTGCTTTGAATGACCTCAGTCAATTCCTTATCTAGTTTATCAAGAGGTGATAGTAGTGTCTTAAGAGTGCCACTGAATTAAGTGAGACTGTCCATGAAAATGTACCCGGGGGGAGTATGTGATGGGGCACCCCCTGCGCCCTCCCTCCTCTCTTCTCCAATCAAAGCTATGGTAAGTAAGATAGGTACACTTTAGAGAAAGGGCATTGGGGTGGACTCTGAGACCCAGAATTCAATCAAATGTAGTTGCCTCCCTGCCAATGCTTGTAATCAAGAGAGAAGGCAGATCTTGATTCTGTCTGAGCCCACTGGGATAAGCAAATGTGTAGGCTTAAAGCAGACATATTTGAGAAGAGAGGGAGGACTACAGCTTTATTGAGATGTTGCAGCTTCTAAGAACCCAAGAGAAGTAAACATGAGCAAATAATGCTAAAATCACTCAGGGAAAAGTTCTTTGTTTTGGTAAGATGGCCTCCCTATGTAGCCTAGACTGACCTCAAACTCAGATCCTCCAGCCTCAGCCTCCAGAGTATTATACCATGCCCAGCCATGGGGAAAGTTCTGTGTACAGAGTCTGAAAGAATATGCCAATCACCCGGGGCTCATGCCTGTAATCCTAGCTACTTGGGAGGCTAAGATTTGAGAACTGTGGTTCAGTCAGTCAGGGCAGAACTTGAAGGCTGAGACTCTTATCTCTACCAGCAAACACTCAAAAGTGTAGCTGTGGCTTAATGGTAGAGTGCCAGCCTTGAGCAAGAATGTTGAACAAAGGCACAAGGTCCTGAGCTTAAGCATTAGTATCAGCATACAAAAAACAGTTAAACAGAACCTCAGCAAGAACAGGACCAATTAATGTCATTGTATCCCTGCTCTTGGAGGTACTGAGAACACAGCATCATTTAGGTGGGAAGATTTTATTCACAAAGGCACAAGCTAAGCCAAATCATGGGAAGGATCAGAAAGTTCTGACTTGTAAACAGTCTACAAGACAAATGGCTCCTGTTACATGTGGGTGTGATGGCAGATGGAGATCAAATGCAGCACTTGCCAGATCAAAGAGATTAAAATATCAAGGTGGAGAGATCAAGGTAAAATTATATGATCCTGGCTTTGGGGAAGCAGTCACAAAGATGTTATTTAAGGCATGGGGAAAATTCAAATATGAAGTCCATATTAGATAGCAGAATGGATCCACTGTTAAATTTAGGTGTGTAGGAGCAGTTACCGCACAGGAAAATTATTCTCAAGTGGTATACACACACACACACACACACACACACACACACACACACACACACACAAATACACCATGAATACACACACATGACAAAGCAAATATGCCAAGGTATCAACAATTGTTAAGTCTAGATAAATAGTAAACATTGTTTTATATAACTTTTGTGGATTTGAAAAAAATAAGTAAATTATTTTTAAAAACAAGTACAAACACCTGACGGGAGAAAGAGGCAGTGTTTTTTTGTTTTTTGTTTTTTAATGAGGAGATAACAGTTTTGTGGTTCCCCCAAAAATTCACTGTGACCTGACCATATAACCCGTTATTTAGTAAAATCTGAACATATACTAAAGAGAAATGAAAATGTGTTCACACAATGACTTGTATAAGAATATTCATAATTGGGGGCTGGGAAGGTGGCTCAGTGGTAGAGTACTTGTCTCGCATGCATGAGGCCCTGAGTTCAATTCCTCAGTACCACATAAGCAGAAAAAGCTGGAAGTGGTGCTGTGGCTCAAGTGGTAGAGTGCTAGCCTTGAGCTGAAGAGCTCAGGGACAGTACCCAGGCCCAGAGTTCAGGCCCTACAACCAACCAAAAAAAAAAAAAAGAATATTCATAATTGGAAAAAGGAAGCATACATACTTTGTAAAACTAAAAATTGAATTGCCAATTTATGGATTTCGAGGGTTACTAATAGTACATAGATATTTGCATTCTATTGGGGATATGGATTAAGCAACTTTTCTCTGCTAACAAAAAAAGAATATTCATAAAGACATTATCCATAACACCCACAAGGTGAAAGAAACTAAAATGTCTATCAAGAGATAAATAAACACATTGTGGTATATCCATACAATGGAATTTATTACTCAGCCATAATAAAGGATGAAGCTCTGATGTAAGCTACAATGTGGGAGAAAGTTGAAAGCATTATTCTAGTGAACTAAGTAAACACAAAAGGACAAATTCTATATGCCTTGGCTTATATATGATACCTGGAGATGAGAAAAATCGCAGATACAGAGAGTAGAATGGTAGTCATCAGTTGCCAAGGAGAGGGGAAAGTTGGAAGTTGTTGGTTAATGGGTATAGTGTTTCCTTTTGGGGTGATGAGAATGCTTTGGAACTAGATAGAGGTGAATGGTTTTACAATATGTGAATGTATAAATGCCACTGAACCGTTTGCTTTAGAATTAATTTTATGCTATTTTTTTAAATAAGAGAAAAATGAGGACAATGATATGATTAGACAGATATCATGACATCATGTCCAAGAATTCCCTGACAGAAATGGCAGCAACATATATTTCATAAGCACTGGGAGGGCTTAGAAATTTACCTCAGTGGAAGAGCACTTGCCTGGCAAGTACAAGGCCTGGAGTTTGGTCCTCAGCTCTGCCCCAACCCCCCAAAAACACTTAAACAAACAAACAAACAAAAACTACTTAATAAGCACTGAGATAAGGTAACCAAAACAAAAATGTGCAATTCTATAACTATCATTTACCTGAATTTGGAAACTTTTGCAAATTGGACTGATGGTACAGTAGAAATCAAATTCCAGGTTGGGTCACTATCTGTTATAGTTAAAAGATATTTCGGCCAATGAGGTGTCCATGAGAGATAGTACACACAGCTATGGTCCCAGGGGTGGGATTTTAAGGGACCTCCCCCCCACCCCTGGCCCTGCCCCAAGCCTTCTGGCTGTGGCAGTGCAGTCATGTGGTAGCTGCAGGCTTTGAGGCTTGGACTTCTGCATGGCTCGGGTGGGTGAGGTTTCAGAAGCTGCTCTCCCTGGAAATCACTCATCCAAAGCAAGCAGAGAAAGTGATTCACCACTGACCATGCCACCTGCCATGCAACCCTCCCCAGAAGCGACTCTGTGTTTAGTAGAACCATACCAAGGAGGTGTGGCTTTAAAACAGTTTCATGTTTTATTCTTATCACAAAAGAGATTCAAATTCACTATAAAAACTTAGAAAAGAGAGCAAGACACCAGGTGCTGGTGGCTCACTCCTGTAATAGCTACTCAAGAGGTTGAGATTTGAGGATCATGCTTCAAAGCCAGCCCAGGCAGAAGAATCCATGAGACTTTTATTTCCAATTAACCAGCTCCTTGTTTAAACACATGTCTAGAAAAGCCAGAAGTAGAACTTTGGCTCAAATGGCAGAGTACCATCATTGAGTGAAAAAAGGGACAGCACTCAAGACCTAAGTTCAGCCGGGCACCGGTGGCTCATGCCTGTAATCCTAGCTACTGAGGAGACTGAGATCTGGGATCATGGTTCAAACCCAGCCCAGGCAGAAAAGTCCGTGAGACTCTTATCTCCAATTAACCACTAGAAAACCAGGAGTGGCACTGTGGCTCAAGCAGTAGAGTGCTCGCCTTGAGCTGAAGAGCACAGGGATAGCACCCAAACCCAGAGTTTAAGTCCCACGACCGACAAAAAAAAAAAAAAAAAAAAAAAGACCTAAGTTCAAGCCCTAGTACTGGAAAAAAATAATAAACAAACTAATAAAATTAAACAATAAAGAGAGAGATGGACAAAAGATGTCCTACAGAAAGCCACTGCTGCCATCTTGGTGCACTACTTCCCAGCCTGTGAAGGCCTTAGGTAGGAAGGACTCACTAATGATGGAAACATCTTTAGAAACTCTTCTAGTGACCTGAAAATTACAGTAAATGGCGGCTTCCTAAACTAAGTGTAGCTTGAAGCAAAGAGTATTTTTCCCTGTGGTGAAATAAAATTCCCTGCACTTCAGAGTTGCATCCAGAGATTGAGGATGACAGTCAGAACCAAGTGAAAGCAAATAAAATAGGTGAGGCACTGGTGGCTCACACCTGTCATCCCAGCTACTGAGGAGATCAAGATCTTGAGGAAGGCAGATTGAGGCCAGCCAGGGAAGAAAAGTCCAAGAGGCTCTATCTACAAATAACTATCCAAAAGCTGAGTTGGAGGCATAGTTCAAGTGGTAGAGCACCAGCCAAATACAAGGCCCTGAGTTCAAACCTTGGTACCACCAAAACAAAATAAAACAAAACAAAAAGAGAATAGACAGAATACTCAGGATACATACATTTACCACATTTACAGACATGAAGAGAATTACTGAATCACAAGGAAGAGCAATGGACAGAGGAGAAACTAAAGAAATACTCTGACACCGTTCAATGTCTGACTCAAAAACTGAAAGAAACTGGCTCTAGTACTTCTCTGCCACTGTCCCCTGTGTGGGCCGCTGGTCCCAGAGCCACACACTCACCCATCCAGACTTCACCGAACTGTCCTGCGCCGAGCTTTTTCACCAGTTTTATGGACTCCCGGGGGATCTCCCAGGCATCTTTATCCCATGGCTTCTGGGGTTTGGGACTAATACATGCTTTCTCCAGTCTTCTGCACAAGCCGTCTGGCTGCTCTAATTGGGAAGGGAAGACAAAGGTTAAGAAATGCAATACATGGGCTGGGAAGGTGGCTCAGTGGTACAGTGCTTGCCTTGCACGCATGAGGCCCTGGGTTCGATTCCTCAGTACCACATAAGCAGAAAAAAAAAGCCAGAAGTAGTGCTGTGGCTCAAGTGGTAGAGCGCTAGCCTTGAGCTGAAGAGCTGAGGGACAGCGCCCAGACCCAGAGTTCAGGCCCATGACTGGACCCCCCCCCAAAAAAATGCAATACAATCTGTATCCATGAGTGCCTGGTACCAGGACCCCTCTTGGAGACCAAAAATCCACAGATGCTCAAATGCCTTATGTAAAGTAGTGTCATATTCATATAACCAAGGCACATGCTCTCATACACCAGAACCATCTCTAGATTATCTGTAATACCTAATACAAGTTAAATGTCATGTAAATAGGTGCTACATGAGATGCTGACAAGAAGAAAGCAAAATGTATTCAATACAAATGCACATTGGGGTGTTGGTATTGGGATTTTAACTCAAGCAGGTGCTCTACCACTGAGCCATGACTCCAAGTCCTTTTAAGAATTGGCTAATTTTACATAATGGAATTCTATGCCTCCATCAGAAAGAATGGTATTGCCCCATTTGTTAGGAAATGGAAAGACTTGGAAACAATTATATTAAGTGAAGTAAGCCAGGCCCAAAGAAACATAGGTCCCATGGTTTCCCTTATTTGCAATAACTAGTATATGTCTGAGTCAAGCAGAAAAGGTCAGATAAGTTGATGTGATTGTTTCTAACACATTTATAAGATTATTTCTTTGTTGCTTTGTATGTCCTTCTCCCACGGTATAACCCCTGCTTTCACTGTATTTGATGTTGGTATAATTTGTGGAGGGGAAGGGAAAAAACAAATCGTTTAACTAGGGATACAGGTGGACCCATTGCAACAATGAGATGTACAAGTCGTTATGTCGAAAAATGAACTTTACAACTTGATGGGAAGGGATGGGAAGGGGAAACAAAGGAGGAGCCAACAATGCTTGATAAGAAATGTACTCATTGTCTTGCCCATGTAATTGTAATCCCTCTGTACAGTATTTTCACAAAAAAAAAAAAAAAACTTAGAAGTGGAACTGTTACTAAAGTGGTAGAATGCCATCTTTGGGCGAAAAATGCCAAGTGAGAAAGCAAGGTTCTGAGTTCAAGCCCCAATAGAGGGGAAAAAATAAAGACCCCACAGGAAAAAAAAAAAAGAATTGGCTAATTTTGAGATTGGATCTTGCTCCCTGTCCAAGCACATGTCTAGATCATGATTCCCCCTTCCTTCTTTGGTTTGTTTGCTTTTCTCTGTAGCTGGGATGACAGGTATGCTCCACTACACCCAGCTTCTTCCATTGAGATGAGGACTTTTTGACTGGGCTAAACTGCAATTGGGAACCTCTCAATCTCAGCCTCCCAGGTAGCTACAATGACAGGTACTTGTTATTATGCTCAGGTGTTGGTTGAGAGGTGGTGAACTTTTTTATTTTTTTGCCTGGGTGGGTCTCAAAGTAGAATCTTCCTGATCTCAGCCTGCAAATTTTCTAATTTTCTAGTATTATAGTCACGAGCCATGGGTGCCCAGGTAGATGCAATGAAAAATATTTTTGCCTTCTAGTTGGCTGCATTCGTAAATGTTAATATGAAGGGCACGTATAGTTTGTGTTTTACCAGTATATATAAAGAAATGTGAAGGCAAGGCATGGTGGTGCACACTTGTAATCTGGTATGCTATTTAGCAGGCTGAGATCAGCAGAGCTGGGGCTTAAGACCATCTCAGGATTAAAAAAAAGTTAGCAAGATCCCATCTCAACAAGTAAGCTGGATGTGGTGGTGCAGATCAATAATCCTAGTCACCTGCAAGGCATAGATGGGAGTATTGCAGTCCCAGTGTGGCCCTGGGCAAAAACAAAAGACCCTATTAAAAAAATAACTAAAAGCAAAAAGGGTTGGGGTATGGTTCAAGTGATAGATTTTTAAAAAATGAAAGAGGAAGAAGAAGAGGAGGAGAAGGAGGGGGAAAGCTTGAGGTTTGAATAAGCTATTAATCTTATTTTAAGCTAATCTAATAATGTCCAACCTGCTGCTACAAATCTAAAATGCTCAGGATGGAATATGTTACATAGTCATGACTTTTGAAATTTGAACTTGACCCATCTGACTTTATTTATTAACCCTGTTAACACATAAAAGCAAAAAACACCACAGCAAATTGACAATAGCTGATAGGTTGCTCCATGAATAGTAGGGGTTCAAGTCCCTAAACTATAACATCCAGTAGATAAAGCATGCTAAATAAATGCATTTAACATACAACATTTTTCAATTTATAACAGGTATATTGTTATAAACATCAACATAAGTCAAGGAACACCTGTTTAACTTAGAATCAGTAGTTCAACTTAGAATCAATTCTAGACTATAACCTATCAACTTTATCTAGATGATGACACATACAAAGTTTTAATATAAAAAATAACATTTGGCATCTTGTAACTATAATGGTGAGGTTGATCTTTTCCAGCCTTCAGGATTTACTTACTTTGGTAATGTTTAATCATGTCACTGATACAGGGAAATGTGATTCGTGGGGAGATGTAGTAACCCCCATTGTCCAGACTTCTGATTTTGTAGTGCTTAATAACATCACCATGGACAGGGTCGTAGTCTCTGACAGACAGAGAGAAACTTCCTGGGGGAAGAAGTATGGAGAAATTGTACATTTGTATTTTATAAATAATACCTATAACAAATAACATATCAGATAAATTGTGTGATTTTAAGTTAAGTATGTACATAATGTATCATTTTAAAAGTCCTGTAAAAATTCTCCTTGACAAATGGAGTTATTAACAATTGGGTAGCCAACGTGCCATTTTCTTTCATAATAGTTTTTTTAAAAATTACTCTTAGCTAAATGAGAAAGTTACTTTGATTTTTGGGGGGTAAAATTTCCATTCAGCTGGGTGCTGGTGCTTATGCCTGTAATCCTAGCTATTGAGGAGGCTAAGATCTGAGGACCACAGTTTGAAGCAAGCCCAGACAGGAAGGTCTGTGAGACTCTTACCTCCAATTAAAAGCCAGTAATGAGGTGTGGCTTAAGTGGTAAAGTGCTAGCTAGCCTTGAGCAAAGAAATTCACGGGCAGCACCCAAGTCTTGAATTCAAGTCCCAGGAGCAGTATGTGTATGTACTCTTTCTTTCTCTTTCTCTGTCTCTCTCTTTCTCTGTCTCTATCTGTCTGTCTGTCTATTTCTCTGTTTCTCTGTCTCTCTGTCTCTGTCTCTGTCTCTCTCTCTCTCACACACACACACAAATAAGACTTCCTCAGCTGAAGTTATAGTTCAGTGGAGGACACTTGCTGAGCATAGGCAAGACCCAGGGTCAGGTCACAGAACTGCAAAGCTCATCTGTTTCTTAAGAAGAGATTTAGAGGTCTTAAAGCACTTTCTACCTTTTAATGTTTCACTTTCTCTGATAAGAAAAGCTCCCGCACTGTTTCCTGGTGCTAGAAGTTGTCGTTCTGCATCCTTCCTGGTTATATCCTTGAAAAACCACCTGTGAAGACAGTTTAATGCTTCATTGAGTCTCAGAAAGAAAATGGTAATCAAGGAAACAAGGAACCCAACATACTGAACCAAAACATCCAAGATGGCAACACATAGGCACTCACTCTTCCGTTTCTAAGGTGTTAACTTTGGCCACGTAGTTGCTGGGGATGAAGCCTTCTCTCTTTGTTGATAGGGACTTAGCTTTCCACCATTCTCCATGCCTGGAATAGAAATATACATCAAGTAGTGTTTATATATAAGAGTCAAGAGCAGTAAGTCCAATGGTCTTCCGTTATTAGTTCTGCAGGGGAAAGAATATGGGGTGTATCCCTGAATCCCAGAGTTCAGTGGGAAAATTCACTCCTCTCAATAGTACACAGTGTGCTTTGGGACAGAAGCAAAGGAAAATAGCATTCTAACTTTTATCTGGGCTAATGTGCCCAGTGCAGCATTAGAAAAACAGTTGGTAAAAATGATTCCATTTGGAACTGGGTACTGGTGGCTTATGCCTGTAATCCTAGCTACTCAGGAGGCTGAAATCTCAGGATCATAGTTCAAAGCTAGCCTGACCAGAAAATCTGTGATACTCTCATCTCTAATTAATCAGCAAAAAGGGAGAAGTAGAGGTATGGCTCAAGTGGTAGAGTCTAGCCACCCTTGAGCAAAAAAAGTCAAGCAATAGTGCAAAGTGCTGAGTTCAAGCCTCAGTACTGGCACCAAAAAAAAAAAAAAAGGATTCTCATCTTGCAGAAGTAAAGTATTTGTCATTTGCATCACCAAGATAGACAAGGAATGCTTTAGAATCCTTATAGAAATGGAAGTCAAGGGTATAATGGGTTACCTATGGTTCATGTTTTATAAACATCTTTGTTAAAACATCTAGTTTCTATTGAGATGACAGGATGAATAAATAAAGAATCATAGAAAATGCCAAATCAGGTAATCATACAACAATCCTATGCCAGAGAAGAAAAATGGTAGGAGGTCAACTCTCACTTTCCTGGTGCAGACTGAGACTGACAGAACTATCTTATGATCCAGCAGTACCACTCCTGGGCATTAAACCAAAAGATTACAGACCAGGATACAGGAAAACCACCAGCACAACCATGTTCATCTCAGCACTAGTCTCTATAGCCAAGATATGGCATCAGCCCAGTTGCCCCTCAATGCATGAATAGATCAAGAAAATGTGAAGTCAGGTGCTGGTGGCTCACACCTATAATCCTAGCTACTCAAGAGGCTAAGATCTGAGGATCATGGTTCAATGCCAGGCAGGAAAGTCCATGAGACTCTTATCCCTCATTAATCACCAGCAAACTGAGTGGCACTGTAGCTCAAAGTGGTACAGCACTAGCCTTGAGCTGGAGAGCTCAGGAACAGTGTCCAGGCTCAGAGTTCAAGCCCCATGACCAACAAAAAAGAAAAAAAGTGTGGTACAGATACAATGGAATTTTACTTATCCATTAGAAGAATAATATTTGTAAAGAAATGGAAAGACTTGGGAAAAACTATGTTGAGTGAAAATCGGGCCCAGAGAACAAGAATCCACGTATTCCCTTATATGTGGAAGTTAGATTAATGTACAAACTCATAAGTAAATATGTTCAGTGGTATGTAAGTGTCTGAGAGTATATTAGCTGAAATATCATAGATTCAAGGGAGATCTTAAATAGCACAGTTCCTTAGGAAGCCAAAATCAAATTCCAGCAAAATAAAATACCAGAAAGTAGGTACTTGAAAGGGGCAGGGTGGGGTCATGAGGAAAGGGGTAGACAAATGAAGAGAATCACGGGAAAATGCAGACACAAATCCAATACTGTATATCCTACAATAGTAAGAAGAGTGAGCCGGGTACCGGTGGCTCATGCCTGTAATCCTAGCTACTCAGGAGGCTGAGATCTGAGGATCCCAGTCAAAGCCAGCCTGGAAAGTCCACGACACTTTTATCTCCACTTAAAAACTAGAAAACTGGAAGTGATGCTGTGGCTCAAAGTGGTAGAGTGCTGCCTTGAGGGAAAAAGCTCAGAGACAGTGCTCAGGCCCTGAGTTCAAGCCCCACGACCTATAAAAATAAAAACAAGAATAAAAAAAGAATAAGGGAAGAGCTGGGTGAGATTGTTGAAAGAGTGACATTGATCAAGATATATTGTATTCATAAATTGCTTTGTTAAATGACAACTCCTTTGCCTAACTGCTTAAAGGTAATAAAAAAAAACACATAAATAAATAAGCCAGGAACCAGACAGAGGAGGTAGGCAAGGACTGAATGGAACAGATGAGCCTTGAATGAGGCTAAATAGAATGTATTCTTATAAGCCTCAACTGCTCTTTTTTTAAAGGCTCACACACAGAAGGGATCTTTATCTGTCAGACAGGAAAAACAATGTAACTAATGCTATAACTAATACTACAGTCGACTATGCTAATACCTATGCAGTATTTACATAGACAGCCAGACTCCATAGCTGTGGGCTCCCTTCCCTCAGATTCAACCAGCTACAGGCTGAGTGAGATATCTAAAATATTTGCAGATGTTCTGAACATGTACAGACTTCTTATCCTTATCATTATCCACTAATTGATACAAGAACTACTCACATAACATTTGCACTGCTTCTTATGGTGATATAGTCCTCGCTCAGGGAAAATTCTAGAGTGCTCACAGTCAGATGGGAAAGAGAAATTTGTTTTGGCATTATTCTTTCTATTGTCTGACCTTCCTGGCAAGCAGAGGTGCTGGGAGCCCAGGTCGACCGCCGGAAGTGGGTCTGCAATCTCTATGGCCTGTTTTTCCCAGGCTGGCTTTGAACGGGGATCCTCAGATGTCATAGCAGCTGCTATGGCAGGGTGTCTGGGCATACTTACTCCTCCAGGACTTTCATCTTCTCCCCTTTCTTGAATGACAAGTCATCTGGGTGGATACCATCATAAGGGTACAAGGCCACCACAATATCACCTTGCTCCTCTGGATCTACAAATGAGGACACAGGCAAAGTACCTTTATGAATCCGTTGGAGTCCGTGGCTCATGCCTGTAAGCCTCGCTATTTGAAAGGCTGAGATCTAAGGATTGCAGATTGAAGGAAAGTCTATGAGACTCATATCCCAATTCACAACCAAAAAGCCAGAAGTGGAGTTGTGACTTAAATGGAAGAGTGCTACCCTTGAGCAACAAAAAGCTCAGGGACAGTGAGTACTCAGGTCCCGATCACAAGTCCCAGGACTGGCACCAAATTAAAAAAAAAAAAAGAAACATAAATAAGACTCTATTGTCAGAAACCTTTTAACAAATCCTCATGGGCACAAAGGATGTGAGTGAGCTGAGGACAGGGGCTTCTGGACTGAGGTCATGCGCATACTTCTTAGCACAGGCTCCAGGCCTACAAAGCAACATTATGTATAGCATACAGCATTCGTTATAACAAACCATATTAACCCTCAAGTATGATTCTAACCCTGTGTTTGAAAAATGGTGCTTCCATGTGTATATAGCACAATCACAATATGAAAAGGTGAAAGAGTCTAAGTTTCCATGAATACATTTATGAATGAACCAAATATAGCATATACATAAAAGGGATTTACTCAGCACTAAAAATGTGCTACATTTTTGGTGAACTTTGAGGATACTATGGTAAGGTAACGAAGCCAGGAACATAGGGACAAACACTGTGTATTTCCATTCACAATAGGTACCTTAAACAACCAAATTGATGGAGAGAGAAAGTACACTAATGGCTGCCAGGAACAAATGGGAATGGAGAATAAGAAGTTGGTGTTTAATGAGTGCAGAGTTTCAGATTAGGAGAATGAAAATATTGGCAGATGGGTGATGGTAGTGGCTGCAAGACAATGTGAGTATGTTTCATGCACTAGACTCTACACTTAAAAAGTAAAGTGAGGCAGTGCCAGGGACTCATGCCTGTAATCCTAGCTATTCAGAAGACTGAGATCCAGAGGATTTGAAGTCAGCCCAGAAAGAAAACTCCAAGATAACTCCATTTCCAACCCGCAAAAGGCTGGGCTGGCGGCATGGCTCAAGTAGTAGAGTGTCAGCTGTGAGAAAGAAAGTTAAGTGAGCACAAGACTCTGAGTATAAATCCCAGTACTGCCAATAAAATACAATAAACTTAAAAATAGTTAAAATGATAAATAGTATATTATGTATTTTTTTCCAGAAGAAAAAAAAAAGGAAAGCCAACATATAGGACAACTACTTCATGGAGGCCTTCACAGTTAAGAAAAGATACAAACTATGTTGCTCAAGGAAACATACCTTTTGTTTGAAACCTCTGTCCTGGTAAAAGCTGAGAGTCTGAAACCTACAAGAGAGTATTTGTTAGAAAGAAATGATGCTTATTTTTTTTCTACTCACTTTCACTTGTATAACATTTTGGCTAACAGAAGCAAGTAAGGTTTGGATTTGCTGTTTTATTAAGCTGGAAAGAAGAGCAGAAGACAGAGAAAATCTTGTAGAATGACATAATCACTAGAGCAAGGTGAGTGAGAGGCATTTTGACCTGGAAGGGCAGGAAGTGAACAGGGTTCTGAAAGTTGGGAACTAGAAACCTACCCCATTGTAATACTCTCTTGTTTACAGTAACAGAACCCTAATATTACTTGGAGTGGCAATTTGCCTAACTCTGTGAATGCTTCTGAATGTCATTGCTGAACATCCCAAACTCTGTGCAGATGGAGAGGGAGTGTCCGTAAGCTCCCAGTCTGTGTGGGGCTTGGAGGCAGCCTCACTCTTCTCCCAGTCTCCTTACTGCCTAGAAATAAATGAAAGCTGTCCTCCCAGTAGCCATGGAAACCAAACACCATGGACAGCAGGGAAGATATGGAAGAAGGCAGGGCCCTGGTGACTCTGAGGATCTATCATTGATCTCCATGTTTTCTGGACTTGGTCAGAGTTGACGCTAGCAGCTGAAGGCAAGTCCAAACAGATTCAGGCTTCTTGGCTGGTCCTGAGTCCATGGTGGAGACAGATGGCATTCCCTGTTAGTGTAGCTCGGCAGAGAATTATTGGACATGGCCTACTGACCCAAAGGGCCACCTCAATATCTTCTAAACCAACCATTTTTTCCCTCATGATGTCATGGTGAGGCTGTGTAAAACACTTTTCTATAGAAGGGACGGTTGAGGTGGATCATGTGCAACTTTTCTGTTTCTCTTTGATTAAAGTGATTTCAATAAATGGCACCAAAATAGTTTTACTGAAATTTAAATTTCAGATGAAAGTCAACAGAAGTCTCTAAATGAATGAGGAAGGACAAATACTACTTAGGAAGGGGTCAGAATATTTATGGGTCTATACTAACTTTCAAGACTTACTTCAATAGCCAGTACTGTGGGCTCACACCTGTAATCCCAACTACACTGGAAGTGGAGATTAAGACAATCATGGTTGAGGCCAGCTCAAGCAAAAATGTTAGCAAGAGCTTATCTCACAAAATAGGCTGCGTAGGGTGGTATATGTCTGCAATGGCCATCTGAGGCAGCCTCTGGGCAAAAGTAAGAAACTATCTAAAAACCAATAACTGAATCAAATGGACTGGGGGAGTGAGTCAAGTGTTAGAGCATCTGCCTCACAAGAGATCGGCCTTGAGCTCAAATGTACCACCAAATAAAAAGAGAAACTTATTTCAAAAAGTTTTATGCTAAAGGAAACACAAACACAAAACAATTTTATGCTGATGTGTTTAGTCATTAACTTCTGTCCAATTAGGAAACATTTAAAGTGATTCCGAGGAACTAATTACATGAGAAATTAATCCAGCACTTCTGAAAGCAGCAAGTTGATCTGAAAATATCAGAGAATCATTTGCAAACATTTTAATGTACTTTCTTTTGGCTACTGGCTCTCACTAGGTTTCTCAGGCTGGTCTTAAATTCATAGACTCAGGTGATCTCCAGCCTCAGGCTCCAGAGCAGGTGGGATAGCAGGCTCTTGACACCACACCCAGCCCAGTTTACCACATAGTTTATATATGCAAAACATAGACACATAACACTCAGACTATCATTCTAGATCTTTCCTTAGAATAGTTCTGGCTCAAGTTTGCATTAAAATTCACCTTCCCTTCTCAGACTCATGCATTTTGGCACATCCGGCAGGGAACAAGAGAGCTATATATGGCCGTGGCATGAAGCCAAACTAACCAGCTCCTGGGGTGAGGGCATCTGTGATTACAGAAGACATGAACTAGAATGCTAAGGGGTACATGAGGAATCGAAAGATACCCAGCATGCTTACTACTTCTGCTTCCCCTCTTGATTTTCAATCTTCTGTAACTCTGAGCACAAGGAGAAAATGGTGTGTAACTCTATACCAATCTCCTTTGCTCTTCTGAATAAAGGACTACTTCATTCAACATTTAAAAAACAAAAACAAAATAAACAAGAATAAAAACCTTAGGTTTTAAGGTATATAAAATCTAGCATTTGGTATAAGACACAAATGGATCTTTTTTTATGAGAACTTTGAAGTCTACAAGAACTATTTGTAACTCCAGTGCCTCTTATTTCACTTTCTGTTAATCATGCTTAAATAATATGCAGGTCTATATCTACATGTTACCACAAAATTCTTTTAAAATTCTTTTTGCATGTGTGATGTACTTGTACTAGAGTTTGAGCTCAGGACTTGAAGTTCTTGCTTAGCTCTTTCTGCTTAAAAGGCAGAACTCTACAACTTGAGGCACAGCTCTACTTTTGACTTTTTTGTTGGTTAATTCACAATAAAAGTCTCCTGATTTGTCTGTCTAAACTGACTTTGAACCTTGATCCCCAGATTTTTGCCTCTTGAGTAGCTAAGATTACAGACATGAGCCACTGGCATCTGGCTAAATTTTCCTTTCATATGTATTTAAATTGTTAAATTTAATTGTTAAATCTAAATTGTTAAAATGACTGATGATCTTACTTTATTTCCTCCATGCAAATATATACATTTCAAAGTTCATTTATCAATCCAAAAACATCACAGGCATAACTGAATACAGGATGCATCATTCTTCACTCAATTTCTCTTGAAATTGAGTGTCCCTATAATGACATAAATTCTGACCTGTGACAGATAAATTCTACCTAAAGGGAAATGGGAAATATGGAAGAGTACTAGGAGAAAAGCTAATTAGAATAGATTCCTAAATTCCCAAGGCCTTTAAAAACTTGTCAGATTAGCCAGGTGCTGGTGACTCATGCCTGTAATCCTAGCTACTCAGGAGGCTAAGATCGAGGATCGAGATTCAAAGCCAGTCCAGGCAGGAAAATCATGTAACTCTTATCTCCAATAAAGCACCAAAAATCCGTAGTGGCTCTGTAGCTCAAGTGGTAGAGCGCTAACCTTGAGCTGAAGAGCTGAGGGACAGCGCTCAGGCCCAGAGTTCAAGCCCCATGACCGACAAAAAACAAAAAATACAAAAAAAACCTTGTCAGACTAGGGCTGGGAAGGTGGCTCAGTGGTAGAGTGCTTGCCTCACATGCATGAGGCCCTGGGTTCTATTCCTCAGCACAACATAATCAGAAAAAGCCAGAAGTGGCACCGTGCATGGCTCAAATGGTAGAGAGCTAGCCTTGAGCTGAAGAGCTGAGGGACAGTGCCCAGACCCAGAGTTCAGACCCCACAACCGACAAAAATTAAACAAACAAACAAAAAACTTGTCAAACTAGATAAGCCATGAAAATTCTTAATAAGGACATTTAGGCTAACACAGAATAGGCTATTTGCTTCCTAAATGCCAAGAGATTCCATGAAAACCAGGCTACAGTATATAAACAGATATGCAGAAAGAAGAGACACAAAGGATAGGTGACCTGAAATACAGTGGACTTAGGGCTGTCATTATCCAAAGCTCTGAGTTCCTGCTTCCCCTAACATGTGATGCTAATTCTTTCTAGGGTAAGCATTTGCAAAATGCATGGGAGAGCACATCACTCATACAAAGATTTCTAGGCTAGGTAGCTGTTGAAACTTTTTAAGGTCCAATTCCATGTGCTTCTTCTCAATCTTTTAATTCATTATACTAATCAGTTATCTGTACTATTTTTCAGTTGACTGAAGAAATGTCAGGAGAGAGTAAAAGTATGATATCCAAAAAGATATAGTAGCACAATTTTAGCTTCTCATGTGTTTGTTTGTCTTGTTTTTTCTTTTTTTTTTGTCAGTCATGGGGCTTGAACTCTGGGCTTAGGCATTGTCCCTGAGCTCTTCAGCTCAAGGCTAGCGCTCTACCACTTGAGCCACAGCGCCACTTCCTTAGCATCTCATTTGAATCCAGAATTCCCTTTTGCTTCCAGACCTTGGTGTTGATAGCATTACTTACCCCAAGTCACACAACCTATAAATATATATATATATACATATAAGTATATATATTTATATACATATATATGTTGGAATCTATATACCAATAATAAAAAGATGGCTTTTTTAACACATAAAATGTAACTGAAGGCCTGCTCATCATTCTGTAAGGAAATTGGCTATCCATTTATGTTTATACATTCTTGAAAGGACAAAGTTAAAAAGCATACCAAAAATTATTCAAGGCCCAAGTAATCAATGTATTTTTTTTTCATGCATGTATTACAGATTAGGATTCAAATTATGCAGCCATGCTCTGATCCTGTGGTGACAATTCTCCCTGAGACTATCTACTTACTGGCCTTTGCTGTTTATTGGACGTTGGATCTCTCACATAAATAGTTCGGTCAGTATTACGTACTGGTTGAGTCTTCAAATCTACTCCATCGTCATTCAGATTGTCTTTCCTTTTTGATTTTATACATCCCATATTTCCTGTTGAAACAGAAAGCAATAACATTGTTTTACCATTCCAGAAACTGGCTTTAGGACATTAGGACATTTAGGACATTATTCATTAAAGAAGATTAAGGAACTTTTTTTTTATTTATCATCCATAGATTAATACATTCAAATACAGAAAATGTTCACAAATAGAATTGGTTGGTCATTTATTTGTTTATTCATTCATCCATCTATTCAAAAGTGTTGAGCATCAATTTTCTGTCACTTAATTCCTAGTCTAAATGTGCTTATATTCTTATGGCAAAGATGAGAGAATTAAATTACAGCACAGTGTAGCAAGTTGATGACAGAAGAAACCTGAGATCATCTAAGATAGACTCTCTAACTCAGGCAAGAGGAAAAGGAGTTGGTCAAGGAAGCTTCCTGAAGGAAATACTCTTAGTTGAGTTGGGAGAGATGTCAGCAGGTGGCAAAATCAGCAGAGGGATTCCAGGAAGAAGGAACTAGACATGCCGCCACAGTGATATCAAGATTTTGTGGCCCCACAGAAAGCTGCTTCAACACCATTAAACCCTTCCATCAAGAAATGAGAGGGATGAGTAAAAATGTTAAAAGAGGTGACGTTGATCAAAATGCATTGTATTTTTAAGGATGGCAACTGTTTTGTACAACCACTCAAAGATTTTATATACATATATACATTTTATATACATATATATGTATATAAAATGAAATATCATATAAAATAACATATATATATATAAAGAGTAGGAGGGGCTTCAGTGGTAGAGTGCTTGCCTAGCAATATAAGGCTCTGACTTCAAACACCAGTACCACTACCACAAAGAAGGAGGAGGAGGAGGAGGAGGAAGAGGAGGAACAGGAGGAGAAAGAAAAAGGAGAAGTGGCTAATAGGATGGCTAGAAACTACAACTGGAGAAGACACAAGTTGGGTGCAATACTGACAACGAAATTTTATTTTTCAACCTTAAAACAAGTGACAGATTGTATCTGCAGTGTACAAGGTAAAGGGAAGGGGCTTTGTGGCTTCATGGAAAGGTATGGTTAAGAGCTGAGCTGGGGTGGGGACAGGGGGATTCCCAGACATGGCCTAACTGAATGGCCTGGGACCTATGAAAATACGATGCTGGCCTTCTAGAAATGAGGAAATGAAAAGAGACACAGATGTGGGAGAAAATATGTCTTTAATAAAATCCAGATAATTAAATCATTTAGGCTTCCCAGGAAGATATTTGAGCTAGGAAACCGGGAGAAGTGGTAGAACCCAGCCACAAGCTGGGACTGCAGACAGCACTGAGAGGCAGAGCCCTTGTGTGGTGGAGCCTTTATTGACTAGTTGACACCACTCTGCAGCTAAATGGTAAACTCTTCCATTTCTTCATCCAGTTCATTATGAAATGGACAGAGCACTCTGAAGACTAAACAGATGCTGAAAATTTGTATTGTTACACTCCTCCTAAGGTATGACCTCATAGTTGAACTTATAGTTGAAAAACAAAACAAAACAAAAATCTGTACTGATCCCTATTAGAAGGTCTTCTAGGAAATTCTTTGGGGTTCCATGAAGACATGGTATACTCCATGTAATCTGTGAAAGTCTAGAGCCCTGACAAATTTGAGGCACAGTTCTAGAACTTTAGAGGACAGAAAGATGACTTTCAGTTTGGGAGAGAAGTATCATGAATCAGGCCGTACCTCATGGGGGAAGAGTGGTGTTTTCAAAGAAACCCCCAGGACTTTGTCTTCCTGTCTAGCTCCTACTCATCCAGCTTTGCACACAGTCTTACACTCCTACAGATTTCCAGTGGGTCTTGTGGACTTGTTTATCATTTCACTAGCTTAGCCAGCCACACCTCTTTCTGAAACCAGTGAGCTCTAGTTCCCAAAATAAAGGGGAAGCAAGTACTTCTTTCATTCAAAACAGCCCATCTCCCCTGCCCTGCCCCCAACTGAAGTTTCTCAAGTCGAGATGAATTTTTAAATAAGTAAGCCAGTTCTATTTTCCTACCACACTCTTTGCAGGGCCTCTCCACAATCTGTGACTAACTGCTCAGTCTCAAAATGGTGCTTATAAAATTAAGATAAATAGGGTAAGAGGAAAGCCCTGTGAGCTGAGACTCCTGAGCACAGAGTAAGCTCCAGGGAGAGGAGTCCTGGGTGGGTCTCCCGGACCCATGAACCCTAGTGGCTCATGCCTATCATCCTCTAGCTACTCACCAGACTGAGATCTGAGAAACATGGTTCAAAGCCAATTACCTCTAATTCACCAGCAAAAAGCTGGAAGAGGAGGTGACCTGGCCCTTCAGAATTTGGCCGAATCCTTTCCCACCCAGGACAGATGGAAGCCCAGATTAACCGGGTCACCATCTAACCCCATGAACAAAGGGAGCCCCTCCCCCACCATCAATCCCCTTCCTGGTGCCCCTCCTCCTCCTGGGGTAGAACCAGGGCCTTCATCTTGCTAGTCAAATGTTCTGCCACTGAGCTACACCCAGTCCTTTAGCCTCTTGTAATATGGAACATTTGTTGTTAAGAGTAAATTAGACTTTGCTAGAAAACCATGCAGACATCCAGGTACAAAGAACCAAGAAAAGGTTTATTGCCAGTAAGGGGACTGGCAAGACCCCTTCTCACAAGAGAGAAGTACAAGCTATTGTCTGAGGTGATCTATATAACCTAGGAGGTTTAGGAGGGGCTAGGAGGCAGAGACCCTGGTGTGGATAGGAGGACCAGAGTCTTAATCATGGTGGACTAGGATTTATGGCTGCTGCCCAAGTAGTAGATAAGGAGTCTTGCAGCTGCCCAGACCTGAAGGTCACTCTAAGGGGCTCTTGCTGCCTTATATAGTGGTAGCTGCCCCAGAGGAGTGCCATTTCAAGGCAAAGAGGGGTTGGAGGCTGATTATTTACTGCCTTTACTAAATGGGCCTAGTGTTACCTGGGAAAGGAGCATGCTAAGCTATGGGAAGGAGTTCACTGGACTAACATTTGTGTCCCTCTCTCCTCTAGTGGAAGCACGCAGACTAGTCATCTTCAGAATATGGCACATTCTGGATGAGCAAATTCTGTCTGAATTCACTCCTCTCTTCTGTATTTCCTATAGACTGGAACTCTCCACACATAGACTCAACACAGCCTGAGGTCAGATTCATTCACCCTCTCCTTCCATTTCCTCCCACACCTTTCAGTAACAGGAGTCCTGCTGAGCCTGCTGCCAGCCTAGTGCCCACAGCCCCAGCTACTGATCATTATTTCTTTTAGTAAATAGGCTTTGAGCAAGCCCTGGGAGCAAGCTGCAGGTATTGGCGCTGTGGGGAATCAGAGGGGTAACTGGCTACTCACCTCTATTCTGGCTGGCGAAGTTGACCTTTAGAAGGACAATAGGTAATTAACTGTAGGTAGGGTAGGGGTAAGACAAGAGTGTGCATCATGTTGGGGTGGTAGTGGGGTGCTCTTTCATCTGAGATGTACAAGATGTGAGAAAGAAGGAGAGAAGGCCAGGAAGGGGAGGAGGGGGTAGAAGACCACAGGGACAATACTTGACTAAATCTTGGGGGATTCCCCCCACTGGTGGGGGGATACAGAACATAAATAGTTGGAGAAACTGGGGAAACCTAAGCTGGCCTAGACCTGATACCCAGAAGCTGAGGTGGGTTTATCAGTATGATCATGGTACCTTGGCAAGGCAGGAGAGCAGCCACCACTTAGGAGAGGCCATGGGCTGTGTGGGAGTAATGTTAAAAGTTTCTGTAACTTTCAACCCTTCAGTCACAATGGGGGAGAGGAGAGAAAGGGACAGGTGTATCTAAATATCTAAAACTTGGTGTGTCTACAGAAAGGCTATATTCTTTCATCATTTTTTTCTGTGCATTTGAACATTTTAAAGCAGAAATGCAAATATTTTAAAAAAAAGTTAATATTATGAAAGGTAGGTGGGAGAAGATAAGAGAATATTATGAACATCTACGAAAAGGCATTGTCATCAAAATGATTAAAAAATGCATGGTAAGGCGATGTGTCTGTGTGTGTGCTGTGCATATGTTGGTGTGTTATGTGCACTGTGATGTGTGTCCATGAGGTGACACGGATACATGAGGTGTGGCGTGAAGGCAGGAGGTGTGATTAGAGACGCTCACTGCCATTCTTGATGGGTATGCCAGGGAAGGCAAGCTTCTTTTTTTTTTTTTTTATCAGGAAGCCATAGAAAGTTATCTAACTGGGAATAGCATATAGAGACCTCTAGTTCTGAGAGAGAACTTTTCAGGAAAGACCCCTGACCCCAACCTCCACAAAAAGGTCCAGAGGAAGCTATAATGCACAAATTAGCAGGTGGATAGGGGCAAAGTGTCACCAAGGACTCCATTCTTGTTTAATCTTTTCCCTTATCACCACACATTTATTTTTAATTTTATTTATTATAAAGATGCTGAACAGAGGGGTTACAGTTACATGAGAAAGGTAATGAGTACATTTCTTGTCAAGCATTATTACCCCCTCTTTTGTTTTTCTCCTACTCTCCCTCCCACCCCCATATCCCCCAAATCACCACATTTTATCATCTGCAGATGATAAAATGAAAGCCAATCCACTGGAAGCACTGGCAGCTGCCTCTGCTTCTCCACCAGGCACAGAGTTCAATTTGGGGCCCTGCAGTTAGATCAGCAAGAAACCTCCTGTGACCAGCAACCAAAGTAAAACATGCAATTCAGCATGCTGGGCAAAGGGCCCAGAGAGGGAGACAATACATTTAACTCCTGATAAGAACTGAGCAAGTATGTGCATATGTCCTAGAGTCTGAGCTACACTGTACATTGCGCTGTACTTTAGTGTTTTTATTAAACAGGATGTGTTGAGCTCTCATCGTTTAATTTTTAAAGATACCTGAGGTACTGTGGTGCCTACCTTACAGAGTTGTAAACTAAGGTTCAGAGAGGTTAAATAACTGGCCCAAAGCCATTTCTGGTGAGTGGTGGGGCTGAGTCTTGCTCACACACCATTTTGGTCTAAAGT